TTTGGTGCAGTTCTGCCACAGAAGGGGCTGGAGGGAGAAGGCTCCAGAGAGCAGCGCTAACCTGGGTGTGCCCGATGCCTTCCACCTTCCCTCTGGGCACCTCCAGGGTGCCCAGCCCTGGCAGTGGTGAGCCCCTGTAAGATGTCGTGATCCATGGGGAAAAAACAACCGACCTGGCAAACACACAGGATTATGGTGCTGATTTCCCCATTCCAGGAGCATTGCAACACTAATCCTGTAATTCAGTGCAAAGTGGTGCAAAACATGATGATCGCTTTAATGTCTCAGCTCTTGCCTGAGATTTCATGGGGTTGCTCTTCTGGCACCACAGGAAAGAAAGTGCTGGAGGAAACCTTTTCCAGACCCCAATCCTCTTGTTCCTCGCTCAGAAAGACATGTGCAAAAATGTATTATAAATATGGCTTTCATTCCACACTGAGCCCCTTCCGAGTGAGGAGCTGGCAACCAGGGGTCATGTGGTGAGTGGGTGATGGGACAGGCGTTATTTATAACAGGTGTCAGGCGATACTTTGTCATCGATATCTTACCCGGCAGTGGCAGCAGCAGCAGCACTAGTGAGGGGTCTCTCCATATTCCAATCTCTGTTTTCCAGCAGTGGGTTTGGTAACAGCATGCACCAAACCTGGCGTCCTTGTTGCACATGGAAATTTCACTCATTTATTTCAGCTGACTGGCAGGACCTGGTTCTCTCTGTATCACTCTGCATCCCAAATCATGCTAATCACTCATCTCCGTGCCACTTGATGCCCATGACCAGGGCTACATCCAAGGACAGGATCTTCTCCTGCACAGATCTTTGTACACAGACATGGCCAAATCACACACCCTGTGCAGGCTCTGGAGGTCCCCACGGGCTCTCCTTGCCCACACATTGTTGTATGCATGCAGGTGCTCACCACCATCACCAAGACTCTTCCCAGGCAAATGGGTAATGGGCTGGAAAGCCACAGCCAGGTCCTGTGCTTATTATCTCCATCTTTGTCTTTCTCACGCACCTCCCACTATCTACACAGGAAGAAGTTTTGGCAAATGTAATAAAGACAAGGTGAAGTTTTACATAAAATATTCTCTCCTGCTATGAGTCCTGAGGAATTTTAATCAGTCCAGGAGTACCAGCAGAATTCCTTTGCCTGCAATCTTTTCATGATCTTGCTTTCCCCTCTTGTTCCTCGTGGGGAGCATTTGCTGAGAAGATGATTAAATTGGGCTGGTAAAAAGCTCGTCGGCTCCATAGCTTCCATCTTTTCCTGCTTCTTTGCAAGAACATTTGTACTTTTTTCTGGCCTGCGGCATGCAAGGTCAGCTGCTTTCTTTGCAGTTTTCTTGTACGTTTCCTCACCATTGTTGTGGGGTTTTCCCCCTCCAGAGAATCTCTTTTGTGCAGAGGCGAGAGACAAGGCTCCTAGCTCAGCCTGCTGTGTTGTTGTTCGCCTGAAGTCCAGCAGGAATTCAAGGAATGGTTCCCCACGTCTCCTATTCACCTTGCTCCTGCCAGTGGCAAGGGGTCGGGCAGGGGGCGGATATTTTGGGGAAGCTGTGAGCAAGGAGTGCAGATTCAGGGGCTGATGTGAGCTCAGGGATTTTGGAGGGCTGAAACTCATCTGCTGTTGCCTGCCAGTAGTTCAGTGTAGGAATTTGGGCATTTTCCTTTGAACAAGTGATTCACCAGTAATCATTTAATCAGCTCTCCTGATGTTTGAATAATCTGTGAGTAATTTAGTCAGATGTTTGCCACAGAGTATCAAATAAATGGTTTGGAAAGACACTGGCTCATACTCTCACCTCGTATATGCTCAGCTGTGGGGTAAACCAGGCCAGTGCTGTCCCCTGCACTTTGGCCTCAGGTGTCCAAGAGATTTACAGCTGGCCAGGACCAGCCCCAAACTGGCCAGGTCAGGATGTGGCCATGGCTCAGCTGTACTGTATTTTTGCCATGCAGCTGTGGAGCATCTTCTCTCCTGCCTGGGGTACCACAGCAGCTGAAGGCTGCGGGTGGCGTGCAGTGCCCCAGAGTGGCATTTCTGGTGATAAGTGTCCTGGCTGGATATCAGTGCACAGGCTTGTGAGGAGCCCCTTGCTTTCTCTGAGTGGCTGCCTCTGGGGTGCTGTGGATGGGGAAAGCAGCCCAGGGTGATGGACTGATGCTGGCTCATAAGCTAATGGAGAATCATTTCCCCAGGTTCAGCTCTCTGCCTGGACCTATTAAAGCTCCAGTATCTTTCCATTCCTGTCCCCACAAAACCACCTGCTCTCCTGACACACTTCCCAATGGCATCAGAGAGCTGCTGCTTCTCTCAGAGCTTTGACTCCTTCTTTTTCAGCTCTGATCCTGGCTGACAGCAGGGACGGGTGGAGAGGGAGAATGAGGACTGGCATTTTTTCCCCTTTTCTTCCATTTTGTGACTACTTCAATCCAACCCCGACTTTCTGGGCAGGAGGGTCACTCCCCAGCTTTGCTGCATCCTGTTGAAAAGCCTTGGAGGCATCTGCTTTTGCCTTTAGTTTTCCCTCCTGGTTATTTTTCTGTCTCTCTTTTTTTTTTTTTTTTTCCCTAGGAGCTGCTGTCACAGATTCCCCCAGAGTCCCAACATGCTAGTTATTCTTCATGGATAAAACTACTAACAATAATAATTTATTGTGCACTTTCATCTGAGACAAAGCATCATTATTTCCATCCAATTAATAGTGTCTTTTAGCAGCATCAGTGAAAACCAGAAAAAACCTGGCTCCCACCCAGCCCCCTTCCTCTGCCTGTGTGACATTGTCTCCACAAATGCAAAGAGAGGTGGTAGCTTTGATTTGATCAACACTTATCTAGTTAAAACAAAGGAGAACTACTTTTGTAGGCTTGCCCAAATATTAGGTTTTTGGGTTTTTCTTTAACAGGAAGATCAGGAAGAGAGCTCTGTTGTTTTGTTACTACTGTTGTTTTCTTCAAACCAGGAGAAGTCCTGGGATGCCAGGGAAAGTGGGAACCTGCCAATGGGAGTATTTCTCCCAAGTCTCTCTGCAGAGTTTTCTCGCATGTGTTGTTTCCTGAGTCACGGGGATTTGAGCTGGGAACGCTCAGATATCTGGAAGCTGGAACAGCCCTTACTGCCGACCTGAATGCTGATGTCTAGGGAGCAGCACCCCCGCCACAGTCACTAGGCTGGAGATAAGGGCAGAGGATGTGCATCATGGGATTCAGGGCTCTGCAAGGCTCCCCAAAATCGCCTGTGGGCACTGCTCCCTGTGCCTTGCTGGCAGCTAGCCCCTGGCAGGGAGCAGGCTGTTTCTTCATGGGCATTTGTCTTTTCCAGGCTGGGAAAACAGAGGTATTTTTCTGCACACTGGCAGCCAAGTGGGGGATGTGGCTGGGGAAGGCTATTTCCCCCAGGCCTCCTGCTCCATGGCATCCCCCAGCTGGTGCCACCAGGGTGCCAGTCAGCCTCTCCTCAGACCCTCCCCACAAGGTGTTTGCCTTTGCCTGGGCAGCTGGCAGGAGGCAGGGGTGGATGCCCTGCAAGGGTGCCTTCCCCTCGGCCTCCTGCCCACCCTGCCCTTCCTTGCCCCGAGGCCGCTTGGCTGTCCTTGCTCACCCTCCCCATTGGCTCCTGCCTGCTTGGCCTCGCTGCTGCTTTAATTTTAGCAATTCCTTGGAAAGAGTCATTTTCCATAACTCAGCTCTCAGCAGAGCCCTCTGCCTGCCAGCTCTGCCTTCTCACACGTGTTGCTGGCGTGCCCCAGCAGCACACGCCTGCACCTGCCCGGCCAGGCCTGCCTGTCCCAGCCCTTTGCACACCAAATCCTCACACCCGGCTCCCGTCCCCGCTTGGAACATCTCAGCCTGGCACTCCCAATCCTCTGGTGCCGTGGCTGGAGTGGCCAACCTGGCCCAGCTGCATGTCCACCCCTGGGGCTCCCCCCTCACCAGGACTAACTGGGCACAGCACAGGGGGACATCTGTCCTCTTTGCCCTGCAACCCCACCCACACGTGTGACAGCTCTCTGTCCTTATCTGTGAGGTCCCAGGCAGTTCCCACATGCTGCCTGGGACCTCATAGGCTGGGGTTGTGATGGATGAGCAGGGTGGGCTTGTTCAGCACCCAGCATCAGGTTTTATTGCAGTGGGGAAGGTGGGTGCAGGTGTGGCTGTGCAAGAGGAGCACAGCCCACACATGTGGTGGGTGATTGGTTGTGCAGTGTGCGTGAGACAGGCAAGAGGCTTTCATGACAGTATGCCTCTTCCTGTGGGCACTGCTGGGCACTCCAGGAGGGTGTTGGTGTGAAGGAGCATGGCACTCACTCGGAGTGGGGCGTGTGTGAGGATGCGCACGGAGATGGAAGTGTGGCTCCTTCTCTTGGGTCTGCATCTCGCGCTGGAGGGAAGGGACAGTGCATGTGGAGAGTGCATTGTGTACGACCCTGTGTGTGTGTATGTGTGTGATTGTGTGTGTGTGTGTGTGTGATTTTGTGTGTGATAGTGTGTTTGTGCACAGGGCACGCGTGAGGTGACCACGACCCTGCTGCTTCCACTGTGGGGAGGTGGGGGGACTTGCAGGGACCGCTGCTGGTGATATGTGTGTGTGTCTCTGTGTGTGTGTGGGGGGGGGGGAGGCGCCGTCCCCACGGTGCTTCCACGAGTGTGCATTTGCACGGGGGTCGGTGGGGCGCGCGTGTGTATGCGCTGCCTCCCTCCGGCTCAGCATCCGTGGGGAGGGAGGCGGCAGCGGCGTGTCCGCAGGGGCGTGGACCAGTGTGTGGCCGTGGGGGGTGCGTGTGTGGGTGTGTGTGTGTGTGTGTGTGTGTGTGTGTGTGTGTGTGTGTGTGTGTGTGTGTGTGTGTGTGTGTGTGTGTGTGTGTGCGGGCGGGAGCGCGCGGCGCGGCGGGGCCGGGAGCGCGTCCCCGGCGCTGTGCCGGGGGGTGCGGGCTGAGCTCATCGCTGGCTCCCCGGCGCTCCTTACCAGTGGCTTCTGCGGTCACATGGGTTATGTGCTGGAGTTTAAAAGAGCTTATAGCCCCCGAGCCGGTGCAGAAGCAGCCGGTGGTTGCATGGGGTAGCGCCGGGAGCGGCGGCAAGGAAGGCGCCGTGAGTAGCGGGCGGCCGGGGCCGGAGGGCGGCACGGGATGTACCCCCACCCGCGGGACGGGGGAGGCGGCCTGCGGGCACGGGGGTCAGCGCAGGCGAGCCGCGGGGCCCGCCGCCCAGGGAGGCGGAAAGGAAGGCGGGGGGAACACTTTCTTCCCCCGCATTCGCTCCCGGTCTTGGGCTCCGTCCCTCCCGCCCCGCAGCCGCGCACCTTTCCAGCGCCCGCGTGTGTCCGCGCCCCGACGTGGGCCGCGCGTCCGCCCCCCCGTGAGGAACCAATTTGGGCAGCTCAATACTTTCCTGCCCCGCCGGGCGCGTGTTCCCGGCGGGGAGGGATGGGGGGCGAGGGGCCGGGGCGTCCCCGCACCCTCCGAGACAGCGGGTCCGCATCGGGGCGCGGCGGTGGCACCCCCGTCCCCTCCCGGCCGGGAGGGCATCGCGGCCGGCACCAGGTTGAGGGCTGCGAGGGATGAGCTCTCCCTGCGGCAGTGCACGGGGCTGGAGCGGCTGGGACTGCGGGGCGGCTCTTTGTAAACCGGAGCCCGTGGATTTCCTGGGCGGGAGAGCAGGCTTCTTCTCCGTCTCTCCAAAGGCGCAACCTGCCTTCTTCTCTGCTGTGGCAGTGCAGATTTTATTTTTTCTTTTCTATTTTTTTAATTTTTTTTTCCCCGAAGTGTGATGTTTTATCAGAAAAGTGTCTGCATGGTGCTTCTGGGGAACTGCTCTCCCTGGGCTAGGCAGACAGTTCATCCCGAGCGTGAGTACAAGGGCTGCTTTCCAGAATTGCATAATACACACCGATCCCTATGCTGCTCAAAACTCCCTGACATTTCCACATCTTGGTGACTTCCCCCACTGCAATCCTGAAAACGAGTTGTGACTCCAGTCAGCTCGTGAGCCAATTTGTGGTGTCTTCACTGAGGACAGAACCAGGTCTGCATGTTCCAGCTTCCCTGGCTCCTCTGGCAGTTGTTTCCTTAACTCGTAAACTTTTTTTTTGGTGTAACGATCGGCACTTCTTTACTCTCTTACGTTCCCCACCCCAAGCTTACGGACACATGTGCAGGGTCTGTTCAGAGCACAGGTTACAGAGAGGGGATTGCCTGCAAAGCCGTTCAATTTCTTTTCCCCATCTCTTTGTGTTTTAATTTGTGGGATGGTTGAGGAGGTCCTTTCCTCGGATTGCTTTTTGCTCGGGAACTTGCTGATATCTCCTCGGATTTAGCGGATTTCACTGGCTGTGCCCACTCTCAGCACACCGCGTTGTGTACTCTTGTGAGGGACATGCAGCTGCCAGTCCCACTGGCCCTGTGTTCAGGCAGTGAGGCTCTGACATTGGCTGCTTTCTGCAAAATGTGCAAATATTTGGGAGCAGCCGGTCTTGCTCCCGGATCCCTGCCTTGCCCCTATCCGTGAGGAGTTAGAGCTTTGCTGTGATGTGTGGAGATGTGCAAGGGATGCTCGTGTCTGGCCGGGCAGCATGCTGAGACCAGGTGCTGGGACCAGAACTCTGTGGGGTTCACTGCACTAGGAGGACTTTCCCAAGACAGGCTGAGCTTTAGAAATGAGAGCCTCGTGCCTGGCAGCCTTCCTTGCGACAGCTCCTCAAGATAAGTTTATCAGAGCTTCTTGTCAGAGCAAGCCAATCCATGATCTAATGATCGTACATTATCTGTGGTCTAATTTACCCCAAGAGGACCCCATTGTGCCAGGACTCTGCATCCCCTTTCCCCTGAAAAGCGCTCAGCAGCTTCTGGACTTGGGAAAAGCCCTGATGGCTCTCAGAGCCACAAAGCTTGTGATGCACACACACATTCAAATAACTGTGCAGCCAAGGCTTAGCTTTTGGGGACGTGACTGACTCTCTGAAGCTGGCAGCACGAGTTTTGTGGGTGCAAGCCCCAGCTCCTGGCCACTCTCATTTCATTCCCTGCAAGCTGGAGACACGCATCCTGCTCCAGCTCAGTCTGGGGCTGGGTGTGCGCCTGGGGAGCCTGTCTCTCAGCTCTGTCGTTTATTATTGCTGCCGCTGCCATTATGCCTGACAAATGAGAGTTGCTGAGTAATGTGCCGTTTGTGTGTAAATATCTGAGTGCTCGCAGCTGAGCTCACTCCTGCCACTTTGCAGGAAGCCATCTCAGCACCTTTCCCCTGTGAAGACCCGGGAGTGCACAGCGTCCTTCTGCGGGGACCTCCCCACCGCCACCGACAGCCCTAGCCTCCGCTCGCCTCTGCTTCCCTGCAAGCGTGAAGCCTCCATCCTCTCCGGCTATCCTGGCAGCCCTTCTGCTTTCCTGAGTGTGAGTCA